CGAGTACGTACATTAGAAGTCTTGAACTGGTGGTATGAGAAATACTCAAGAGTTATTGTATACGTACTTCCGATTTGAATAATGATATTTTTTTATACATTACAGTTTTGACTGTTAATTATAAACATTGACTTTTAAAGATATAAGTAATAAAACGAATGTATAATAAAAATAACTCGGTCACTTGTCTCGTTACTTTTGGATTTTGAGATAATCTTCTTTAAACTGGTAATTTCCGGTAAAAACTAAGGATGTGCAATATTTAAAGTCATCTTTAAACTGAGCACAATTGGTAACCGTCCACTTTAACAGATGTTGGCGTTGTGTAGCATTTTGTTATAACTTTTAGCAAATGATATACGAATTCTTCAAAGTTATAATTGACACATTAATTTAGCAAATATTTAAACTGGTCTAGTAAGTAATTATTTAGTTTTAGTAAGCATGATTTTAATTTATTGTATTTTAATCACTGTAACGTGATTAATAGCTCTATATTCATTACAGGTATAAATAAGCTCTGTACTGCTCTTTTTCATGAACCAAAAATACACACATCAAAAGTGTCTAGGGATCAACATATATTTTTGCAATAACTTTTCTCCTGATTGATATTAATTAAAATTTTCTTTAAGGATTCATCAAATAAAGTGTTTTCGTTTGTCACAGTAACGATAAACCAAGTCACCTTTGCATTAATAAAGAAATTTGCCATTTTCCTAATAAAGGGATTTTTGACATTTGAACCACTAACACAAAAGTTCGAAAAAAAGACTGAAATAACAGTTTTCTCTAAAATTTTATTGGGTAACTTAAACAATTAATAATCCGTATTTCTACCGCGAACACTAACAACACAAGAACATCGGTTTGGCATACTCAAAATGAGTTCATCCAAATCACGCTGTGGAATGGCCGCCCATGTTCGTTGCAACAACAAAAAAAGGTCTTCTTGCGACTGGATACCCTCCATATTCGGCAGAGCTCTTCTCTGTAGCATATCCCATGCATGCTCAATCGGGTTCAAGTCTGGCGACTGAGCAGGCCAGGGCAGGACATTGATGTTAGCTGCGGCGAGAGTCTGTCTTACAACTCTTGCGGTGTGCGGTCGTGCATTATCATGCATTAACTGAAATAAGGGACCGATTTGCACTTGTAGAGGAACGATGACGTCTGATACAATCGTCTCAGCATAAATTTGAGCGTTGAGGTTGCCTCTGATCCAAATCAACTCAGTTCTTCCGCCGATCCAAATACCCGCCCATACCATGATGGTTCCACCACTATAAGGATCGACTTCCTGGCAGGATTTTAATCGCTGTTGGCGTCCAGGGGTTCTCCAGTGTCGTATACGTCTTGTATCCGGTCTCATACCAAAACGAGACTCATCAGAAAAGCACACGAAACGCCATTGTTCTTCTGCCCAATTTCTGTGTTCAAGAGCCCATTGATATCGAATCCTACGATTGTGCATTGCTATAGGTGGTACCCGTAGCGGTCTTCGGGAATGAAGGTTCACTTCATGCAAGCGGTTTCTGACTGTTTGGTCGCTAATTAAGTTCCCTGAAGAGTGATGAAGCCTCACGGCTAACATCATGGCGGTTATTGTTGGAGCTCTTCGAGTTAAGATTTGAATGTATCGGTCTTGTCTCCGTGTGGTGCAGCGATACCGTCCTCCATGGCGCTCAGCCACGGTACCAGTGCTTCGGTATCGTGTCCAAAGTCGACTGATAACACTCTGACTTGTATTCAGAGCTAAAGCCACAGTACGTTGCCGGGAACCAGCTTCTATCATTCCCACGGCTCTGAGCATTTCTTCCCTGCTTAAATGACGTCGCCGCTCCATAATAACGTTGGTTTTAATCAGTAGTAGGGAAACAGTAGCACTAATAATGTCTTCAATGCGTTGTATGTTTTTATAGGGAAAATATTGACAGCTGATTTTCATCTTTTACTCGAATTTGATTCACAGTTCCTGATTCAAATTATGAAATGCACCAAAAAGGATCCATATAAATTTATAAAATCATAAATTTATTACAAAGCCACATCTCAATCTCAAGAAATCCGCATAAAAATGCTTGATCCCTAGACACTTTTGATGTGTGTATATTTAACCAAATAAACCAACCAAAATTTACTACAAACAGTTTTACTAGACAAACGTTCACGCGGTCCCGTCTGCTGCCTGGTCCGCGTGGATTGTTTTCAAGTAAACATTTTTTCTTTGAATGAATGAATGAATATTCTTTATTGCACTATTTAACAAAATATATAAAACATAAAACTCAGGAACACAAACACAAAAGGCGGCCTTATTGCTAAGGTAGCAATCTCTACCAGGCAACCTTTGGCTAAATGAAATCATACCATGGAAATAGAAGAAACTGCGGGCTAGTGCATTTTAAAAATAAATAAATAAACGTAAATATAAGAATATGAAAATAGTAAACTTACTATAACTTTAGATTGTATCATGTAGCAGTTACATGCTTGAAAAATAAAATTATATATATCCAAAAATATTAGTTATCTCTGACAAAACAACTACCTATTATAATTTAAAACTTTTAAGCATGTAACTGCTCAATGTTTAAATCTAACATTACTATAAAAAAACATAATATTAATTGAACATTTTCTTTAGATTTAAACATCGAGCAGTGATATGCTTTAAAAAAATATATAAGTATAATTGCTATTTCTTTTTTTAAATGTTTAATACTTGTAAAGGTATTCATTTGACAATGTGCGTTACATACAATGCGAAGAGATGGCGCTGCCTTGCAGCTTAAGAAATGCTAAAAAGAATACGACACGGCCATCAGGGCCGCCGCAACATAATGGTCAGTGCATTCGCCCGGATAGCGAAGGGTGTGGGTTCGAGTTCCGTCTGCTGCCTGGTTCGCGTGGAATTTTTTCTAGTAATATTTTCTTTAGATTAAAACTACCTCTAAATTAAAGTCATGTACTTAATCAAAATGTTTAGTGTCTTTGTTATTATCTTATTCTTAACCAAAACTGTTACAGATTTTTCTTTATTACGACATGTAAGGTAAGCCCACAACTTCAATACTGGTTCTCATATATTGTTTTATGCGTTCATATATATCACACATTATTAATGTCACGTTAATTAAAATGAATATCCTTGATAATGTTTATTTGCTGAGCAGCGCGTTATGTAGGAATCAATCCTCCTAGAAAGTCTGTAGAACGCGTATACGCATACAGAATCAGCTTTAATTCAATAAGATCAAGGGCAATTCGTTCAAATATGGGGCAAACATCTCGCAGTAGTTCTGATTTTATAAACAACAGCCCATTTTAGACGCCGGCCGCCTCGAATACGTCAAACCTACGCAGTTGTAAATCACATATAGAAGAATAAACTCAATAAGAAGACGTAAGTGCTATGTTTTCGTACTAATGGAGTTTAAAGATTTATAGACCTTTTCGTAAACTGTACTTTACTTTAGAGATAGTACTTACCTTCTCTGCTAGTTGTAGGACTGTTGAACTTTATAAACTACTAGTTGACCCCGAGTACTTCGTACGGGTCAAAATAATTTGGAAGAAATGACGGACCCAAGTCTACCTTACCAAAAGGGATGAACGTCAAATGTTTGACAAGAAAGAAAATAGAACATTTTATATGGGATTAAATTGACGTTTTTACTATCTTCCTAGCCATCAATTTTTCCATATTTTCTCACCTTTTAAACCTTCCCTAGACCTCCACACGAACATTTCAAGACTAAGATAAGATAAATCCGTTCAGCCGTTCTCGAGTTTTAGCGAGACTAACGAAAAGCGATTGATTTTTATGTATATAGATAACTCAAATTCCTTACCCCATTTTATTTCTAAGGGCAATTAGCACATGATATGACTGTATTTATACTATATAGGAATTTTGAATCACATATTAGTTAATCTGTGACTAAAATGCACCTTTCTGGACCCAAAGAAAATAACTCAATAACAAGCTTTATCGTTTGAAATAGCAAATAAAACCTTAATCAATCATATCATCTGCTAATTGCCCTTAGAAATAACAAAGAGTAAGGAATTTGAGTCACAGATCTGTCAATCTGTGACCAAAATACACCTCTCGTGACCCAAAGAAAATAACGCATTAGCAAAACTTTATCGTTTGGAATAACGAATAAAACCTTAATCAAACTTTGAAACTTGAATTTACGTGCCATCGACGATCTGTTCCAATACAGGGCCGACTAATTGGCTCGGCGTTGTAGTGCAGAAAATTGCCAAAAAAGACCTAGACGTTAGACATTGAGAATTTTTCAGAAGTATCATAGCTGCTAACACGTGAAATTTGTGAATTTCTGTTGTTTTCAGTTTTTTACACAAAGCTTGATCATACAAATTTCTATCAACTTAGATCTAGTTGGCGTTGCCTTTTGATTTTTCAGGCGCTGTTGAAACTTCTTCTTTAGCGAACACCTCTTAAACGCATATTATTAACAATTTTTCCGCGATCGACGATTTTCGTCAACTTAATCAAAGATTTGTAGAATAATGAAAATCAAAACTGTATCACAAAAAGAAAAAAGAAAACCTTATTTAACGGTACATCGGCAGTACAAAACACAAAGAGATCTATCTATTCGAGCCACACCAAATATTTATTAAACAAATTGGCAGTACAGGTATATGTCGTACCAACAAATTATAAACAAAACACAAACGTATTAGTAATAAGTTAATTTATGGAAAATCTGCAATTAGCCTTACTGTCGATTTAAAGTATATTTATATACTATTTGTAAACGCCGTTAATTTTCAAATAAGTAAATGAATTATAATCTTTTCAGTTAAGTACACTACGCACTTTCCATCTTGCAGAGATCTCCTGTATCTCCATCTGCCTTACGTGTATGGAACTGTCCCGCATGCTGGATCCAGGAGGATGGATAGTGCGAAGAGGATTTTAGTGGAATGGTTTATAGTAGAACACTTGAAGACTGTCATCTTACCATAGATATTTGGTTGGTCCACTCGCTGTGGTATCGCCAGGAGTTGGTGGTGTTATCCCAAACGTGCAGCCTGGACGGAAACCCCACTATTCTGTCGGGGAACTCGCGCCACACGTCGAAACTGAAATAAAAACAACAAATACAGTTCATGCAATATTAGGAACTGCGGGGCTATTCTGTAAAATTCTCACGCGCGGATCCGCGCATTTTCCATATAAATACACGCGGATCCGCGCGTGAGAATTTTACAGAATAGCCCCATTGACAGGAATTCAAATAGGTTTTCGCTGTGAAGTGAAGAATGAAGTGTTCGAATAAATATTTCTTGCACTGATTAGCCTAGCCCCCAAAGTAAGCATTGTAAGGTGTGCATTATAGAAATATATATAAAAGACCATGGCTTAGGGACTTGTGTAGGATATTTGTATATCGTTGATAGTAACTCGTAATTATCAAACAAACATTTGAAATACCGAGATACGAATACCCAGGCTCTCTGAGTAGGTGACACCTTGAAAACGGGTGTACAGCCACACCACTGCAGAGGTCGTTAAATGAATTTGAACTTTCGTTAGTCATCGCAATACCTATAAAAGATACGCTTTCACTAATACATCTGAACGATATTGTCCAAAGGCAAACGTAAACGTACACAGATAAGTAAGGACAAATTCGGTCATTTACACTTTGTCACTAGCCTGAATTCCGTAGCCAATCGAATTCCGGTGAAACACAAAACGTGTTCGCGCAATTGTGTTAGCAAGGTTCGATACAAGTACGTTATATGATATAACTTATGTATAAAAAGGCGTTTCTCTATAGGAGATAAGTGATAAAAGACTATTTAAAAAACCCTATTTTGAACCAACAAAGGATCAATCAAAATAATATAAAGGAACAGAACACATTTAACTTTGTATAAGTAAAACCTATACGGATTCTGAACCAGTCTCAGTACAAAGAATCTATTAATTTGTTTGTTTATTTTTTTATATTTAGATCTAGGGTTCGCTGTCTATTAAAACCATTAATGCAAATTCTCAAGAAGAAAGTAAATACTTATTTCAATTTATTTTAGAACCTATTATCAAAGAATCGTTAATAACTCGTAATTGTACTTAAACGTAATAAATAGCAATTACGTTGACAGATGTTCTTTTTTCTACATAACTATAACTAAGATTAGTTACAGAAAAAATATAATAAGACTTCACAGTAGATAAAAAGACAAATTTTAATTGCAGGAAGCAAATGCAACAAAACAAAGTTCCGTATGAAAAAAAGTCCGTAATATGCATCCTTGAGAAACTCTCACAACTCAAAGACATGAGAAACTGTGCCGCTCTCAAGACTGGCTTCATCTTGTGAATACACAGTCGCCTCTAACACAAAAAAGACTCGCTACAAAATATTTAACCATAAACACACAAGTTTTTGTACGATTGTTTTATTATAGGAATGCAATGCTGAATCAAGCGAAGGATATAAAAACTGGTAGTTTGAAGCTATTGGCTTAAACTTCTTCTATTGCATCTTTTAACTTCTATTGAACGTGTTAGTTGTATGCCACTGGTTGTGCAAATAAGAAATAATATGGATATTAGTGAACAGTTACCGTAGGCTATGGACCCTCAGCTAGAGACTGGGCACCTAATTTGAACGATCGTAAACGAAATTTAAGATTATTTGGAAAAGTCCTCACGACTCAGTGAATTTTTTGTACATTTCCTGCACTTTGGGCACAGAGCCAAATCCAACAGCCATTGCAGCATAAATGCTCACAAAATATAGTTATGAGAAGTTCTAAGAATATTTTAAACTTTATTTACCGGATGTTATGTTATGATGCCTAGACTAGAATAATTTCTCCCACAATCGATTAAAAACACGGACTTAAATCTAATTGCGTAATTCGAACTGCACCAACACAACAAGTGAACGTTTCTACATTGTGTCAATCACATCAAGAAGCTAATGCAGCTCAAACAACAGATCATTTATCTAAATTGGTTCCACAGCATGAGTTGTGACACAATGATTAAATATAGCAGCAAAATGAAACAATCGCAGAAATGTAACGTGCGTGACTAATTCACACCTCGGTATGCCACAAATGTAGGTAAACGTTCTGTTTTTTTTTTATTTCTTCAAATATAATGTTTTTAACATAAGTGATACGGGATTCAAGTTCAGTCAGTCCGTGAAAATCCCTATCTTTGCAGGTCATTATAGTCTGTGATAACAAAGAAATGTAACAATCTATGGGTGAATCAATTTGAACTTGGAATTAATTGATTTGATAATTCATAAGGAGGCATCATATCACTGGTGAAGCGAATTATCCAAGAAGATATTTTTGTGAGTATCTTCAATTGGTCAATAATTGCCATCGTTCCACATTCACTTATAATTTTAGTCATGCTCGAAATGTCGAACACGAGAAAAGTGTCTAATACAGATCATAATTCAGTAAAATATGGGTGTAATAAAACCTGTACCACCTCGATTTACAATCCCAATTCCATTCGTGGAACAATGTAAGGTAATGGACGCCAGTGGCCCAGATTGTGTGCGTTACCTACAGAGCATGCAGCTTAAAGTACGCTTCTCAACTACAATAAAACATTTAAAACGTTCATATCGCACATCAATATACCAAATGTGAACATTATCGCGAAAAAAACTGTACAATTGGACATTTACATTAAACCAGGATCATCATTAATTTGATACACCTACCGATAAACTGTTGAACTCGATACATAAACTCGAGAATATACTTTTTTATTAACAATATATAATTTTAAATAGATATATTTGTTCAAACCACTGCCTACAGAGTATTAAAACTTGGACTGTTTGGAAATTGTAACATGTGGGCGAAACAGTATTCGTAGCTGAGCACCCGGAAAACTGAAAGAAGGAAATCTTCACGATATTGCTAAGTAAAATAAGCAAGTAGTAAGTAGGTCATATAGGTAATGCAATGCAAATAGCAATAAGATAAGACATTTTCTAGATATCGTGGTATGATAAAAGAAATGCAAAGTACCTACAACTGTTAGTCTTGATTTATGATTTTCTTGAGATTTCCTTGAGAATACACGTGCTCTATAAATACATGCATACAAAAACAACTGGGGAAAGGAGATCCGCCAAAATGGCCCCAGCTCCGGCGGTACAGTAACGTAACTCGGATTTTGATCGAAATGACATCTAAATGAATTGAAATTGTAATTAATATAATTGACATTTAATTTAATTGGCTATTTATAATTGAATTTAAATTGTATAACTAACCACAAAAATTTGACGATGGGTAGGCTTAAAACCAGCTGCGCTGTGCCTACTCCTTTTTCCGATTCATATTTAATACTTATATATAATGTTTTAATAAGGTATGGAAATAAAGAACTTTTATTTGTATAACTTGTATTTGTATTTTGAAGGAATAACATTAAAAATGTCCTAAAGTTTCACTTTTACTAAATTCGGATCTAACATTTTTCAACAGACAAAAAAACAGATATGCATTATCAATTTAATTGTTATTAAAAACATATGGTATATTTGCATGAAAAAGGTAGGTACTAATTACTATTCTTCATGTAAAAAAGGGTTTGACATTTAAAGTCCACTTCTTGATATGACTTCTCTGACTTTTGTAATGTAACAGAATTTCTATTACAATAAACGAAATACAAATATAATAACGGAACTACTAATTATAAGTTGCATCGTCTACGAAAACTAGTACTAAGACAAACTAATGACTAAGTCACTTAATTGCGTACGGTCCACAAAACTTCGCAAAACTACTGTATATAGCCGCTCCCAGCCAATACAGTAAGTAGTGGTGCGGAAAAGTTATTGTTTTCTGCGAACGGACCGACGTGCTGGATCCCGGGACTTAATTTCCGATAGGGCTCCGGGATTTCAACGTCCAAAGGAGGATTACACCAGAAAATGCCCTCGAATACTTTATTGTTTGCTCACAATGGGTACGCCATATTTCTCCGATAATACTTACTAGAGGGTTTCCGTTAATTAATTACTCGTCTTCCGGCCTAGATGTCATTGAAATACGCGAAACGCTCCTTTTATTCTTCGTGGAAAAACTTAAGTAGTTGAAGAATATGAGGCAATCATTCATTATGCAGTGTAAGCGTTTTAATAGCATAAAAAAGTTTTTAGCACTGTTTTAGTCCGAGTAATTAGAATCCGAGGCCACCATATGACTTTATCGTATTAAATGCATAGCTGTTTAACGATATTTGGAAATACCGTTATAATATTGGATTCGATAACATTTCCACTGGGGAATATAAATTCCTCTCTGTCAACTGAAAATGAAACTACTTACTTATCAATATTTAAGATCGAAGTTCAAAATAATATCTCCACAACATCGAGTTGGTAATCAAGGAATAAGTACCTACTAATACAGTCTCACCATACAAATATTTCATCCCTTATTTTACTTATTTAAAGCTTTGTATTGGTGACAAAGGATATATTCAAAAAAAGATATATAGCCGATGTAACATAATTCATAAAGCAATATATCTACATAACTTCAGTTATCATCAAATTCGTATCGGCGTCAAAGGTATCACATAACATTTATAAAGACCAAGTCATTACAGAACAGACGTATACTAATTTCTTATGACCATAAATATGAGTAGTTTACTTTCACTGAATTCTTTATTTCACTAAAGGCATCCTATAAAACTAACAATAATAAAGGGATAGGGCCGTATTATACAACCTTCTCCCGTCTCCGCCGACATAATGTCGTCATATAGAATGTTAATGGCTACTATATTTCTACAGGAGGTACGTAACAGCACATAATACGTAGAAACTCCTGATCCTTAATGAATATAACTGGCTTTTGCAGAAGCTGACTTACTTAAACACCTGACGATGTATTTATGTAAAAAATAAAATATAACCCCGAAAAATACAACTTACTCAAATAATGTAACTATATTTTAAGTCATCGTACGTGGACGGTCGAAGAAGAATCCCACCAAAAACATTTTCATGTATAATGTTGCCAAGCTGAGACCATATGACTGGCACTATCAAAAACTTATCAGATTTCATTTAGAGCCA